GTTTTGATTAAATATTTTTAAATGTTTCTTGATTTTTCACATTCTCATTAAATAAATAAGAGGCTTTGTTCTTTCCTTTATTAATTAAGATTTCATTATTTGAAAAGATTAATTAAGAAATAATTTCTTATAAATTTTTTAATTTTGGTGTGAATCACCTATCTTTAATCAAACTTAATAAAAGTTAATCTCAATATGCACACAAATTAATTTTAAAACGCTCTCACAGCTAAAAAAATAAAAAATAAAACAAAACCTAACTCCACTTCCCCAATTTTTGGCCTTAATCGTTGAAAAATTTTTTCCCGTATAATAATACACTGTTAATTCTTTCTAATAATCTCACGAGAAGATGGATAATGTAATTTACTGAATGTCATAGTTTTCTTTATTAACCAATCCGCAAAGATATATGGGGATTTAATAATTAGAGTGTGCTACACGAGATAGAGACAGAAGTGGGAAAAGAGTGCCCTGATTTCATTTTGTTTGTCTCCTTTAACCCTTTGGAGAGGAAGCAAGAGGCATCCTTGGAAAGACGAAGGTTACTATCAGGATGGCAAAACGTGTTTAATTTTGATTTATACATGTCCACCAAACTCCCAGCCCCCATGCCATGAACACCATGTTGCATCCCTGCTTGCATCCCAAACTCTTCCTCTCAACATGCGGATACATACAAACTTGTAGGACTCTCCATCACATTAAATCCATGAGCACAATTTACTCCCCTACAAAAGATAAGCAGTTAAAAAGTTTAAATTTTAAATTAAAGATTTTATAATTTATCATTTAATAAATTTATTATTGCAATATAATGATATGTAATTATTAATTAAATGTGTACGGATATAAATTAAATTTTAAGACAAAGCTGACATAATATTATTCTCTTGTGGTTTTTGGGAAATTTTTTTTTGACAAGAAAAAATAATTAATTTAAGTATTAGTATCTGTTATTTTATAAGAAAATCAAAATTTTAAAATTGAATACATTTTATTTGTTGTCCAATAAATAGCGTGATAACCATTGGATCACTGTACCACATGAGACATTGTGTGATTGTTGGGAAATTAAATGAATGGAGTATGGATTAGCAAATAATATTAGGAAAGGATGAGAAGCTTAATTCTGGGTTTTTTATTTATTTATTTTTTGAATATATGAAAATTAGAAGAGAAGCAAAAAAATTTTTACGTAATTGATAAGAATCAAATTTTTAACTAACATAACTTAAATATTAAAATTTAAAAATAAACCATTAAAATAAAAAAATCTAGTTCGAGATACTTAGTTCTGGTTTGATGCGATGTGAGATGTCTTGGGACGATCCTACTCAAAGATGAGTGTCACGTCACATGCTAATCCCATCCCCATTTTGTACGTGTTTCCAGCTCAGCATCTCCCTCAGCTTTGACCTGTCTTAGATGCTGCTTTCCCTCATTAGTATAAAAAAAAAAATTATTTAAAGGAAAATTTTTTATATAATTTAATAAGTTATTTAAATAATTAATTTTATTTATTTAAATTTTATAATTTTTTAATATATTAATTTATTTAATAATATATAAATATTATATAAAAATATTATATATATAAAAAAATTCTTTTTATTACTTGTATTATTTTTTGTGATATTAACATTTCAATATTTTGTAATTACATTAAATTTTGATTATTTTGAAATCAAATCTCGTTAGATTCTATTAAGAGGTAATCTCTTCAAAATTATTTTTTGATTTATAAGACTCAAACTAAAAATTTTATTTTAAAAAAATTAATTTTTTTCCATTTAAACATAATTGTTTACTTGTTCCAGTTAGATACTGCCACTACCTATGCAACGTGTACTCCTATCATTCTCCACTCTGCACACATGGACACGTTTTCCAGTTTCTGCACCACCTCTCCTTCTGTGTACCATGCGTTTCACACAACATATTTTTTTGAGTCAGTGTATTTCGACCAATTTTTGTACATTTAGATACTAATTATTTTTTAAAGAATTTTAATGACACATTATTATATTGACTTATTGTATTAAAAAGATTAATTTTTTAATTATTAATTAAAAATTTTAAATTTTATAATTAATATGTAAGATAATATTTATTTATTAATAAATTTAAATAAATATATATTTTAAAATATGATAATATAGCTACATCGTTTTCTTTAAGTTACAGGAGAAAATACAGTCCCGAGGGTTGAACTACCAACTGTATACAATGTTAATAGGTTTTACACCATGGTTTATTTCCAATTAGTATAATAATGACAAGATTAAGATTTACTCCACGTTAACAAATTTGAAATCTTCCACTTTAATTACTGGTCAAGACTTCACTGACTTAATTTATGCAAAATGTTTTACGTTTATATTCTCTTACATTTTATCAAATGAAGGCCACACAAACATATGATCAAAAAAAGAAGGCCACTAACATGATTGAATCTATACATCCTTAAAAACCAATCAAAATTCAATCTATGGATTATTTTAAGAGAGTTTTATTATGCAACTCATCAAAAATAATTAAAAAAAAATTTGTTTTATTTTACATTACATTAAATTATAAAACATAAATTATAAATAAAAAATAATCTTTATTATCAAAGAGATTATCTTATTTAATAATATAAATGGTAAAATCTAATTAACTACATCAGCAACCCTTTTTTGACTAAAATAAAAAA